TCCTGGGCTACAGCAGGGCAATATGGAGCCTTTGTGCAAATTAGGGAAAGGGACTCCAGCTCTGGGCGGGAGCAGCCCCAGGTGGGGGCTCAAGGCCATGGAGCCAAGCTGGATTTGCCCCCAGTGCCCCCTCTGCCTGGTGGTTGCTCTGCCAGTCTTCCACAGTGGCCCTGGTGGGGCCAATGAATGGGATGAGAAATAGATCCTGTTTTAAGCTTTCTGAGACTGTCATCTTTTGATTGAAGGACAGGCATCTGACCTCCGTAGCCGAGACGCCTTCCCTCGCTTCTCTCTCTCCCCTCCCCTCCCCACCAATACTGACTTCCCTCTTCCTTCTATGTTGAGCCACAGGCACTGGCTTTGCTTTATAAACTGACCAGTTGTAATTTACATATTATTAATATTTTTAGTACTGTTAGTAATATTCTGTTAGTTTTAATGGCCAAAAGACTTTATTTTTATTGAATTATTTCTGAGCTTACCTATTATCTTGTGTTCTTCTTTTCTCCTTGGACTGTTTTACCATGTGAATATAAAAATAAGTGATATACTATGAAATTACTTAATAAAGTTTATTATTTAAATTCTTTTTTCTCCATAGCCCCATTTAATAGATAGGTTAATGGATGTATTGTTGGTCCTTATATTGTATGGATATCAACAGCCTCAGTAATGGGAGGTTGTCCTATAATGTTCTTTCCTAAAGCTGAAGACTTCTGTTTGGGAAATGTCATCAAATATACTGTGATTATCTTGATTAGCCCTTGGCTTATTATTATTATCAGCAACCATCTAAGTGCCTAATGTGTGCTGGGCACCTATAGATTTTACTTCTCATCCTTCCAATAGTCCTGAAAGATGGGTGTCATTGATCCAAGGTTCCTTACCCAGGAAACTGAGGTTAGACACTTGGCCCAAGTTCAAATGGGTAGTGTATGGTGGAATCGGAATTCAGGCCCATTGTGTGATTCCAAGTTCTGCACGCTTTCCATAATGTCAGAGGTTCTTGTTTTTTTCCACTGAAGTTCCCTGAATGCAGAGGAAATCAGTACATACTGCCCAAGATCTAGACCCTTTGTAGCTAGAAGTAGCCAGCAGCAAGCTCAAAATTTCTTTGAAGTCTCATGCTTTAATCTTTAAAATGTATGCAAATTTAGCTTTCTACTCCACAATGTAAGAAATATTAAAGTAATCCTTTAAACTACTTGACATAGAATAAAATTTAAGTTCCGGGAACAGCTCCATCTCTCTTTCATCCCCTCCTGCCCTGCTGGCTGTGAGGGGGTCTGCACACCTCACTTTGAAAAGGTGGTGCATCTCAGTCAAACTCTGAGTGCCACTTCCATTGATAAACATTCCAGGTACAGAACAACCAGTCTCTTGGCCAGTCTGCAACCACAGAAGTCTTCCTACAGAGAATAAAATCCCTCATACTTCCTATACAAACCCTAAACTGGTCTTTACTGATTCTTCCTGGAGATCTTTGATTTACATCTGTCTGGCTGGAAGTTTAGAGATTATTTCATCTTATAGTTCGTAACCTTTTATTTTTTAGAAGCAAAAGTCATCTTTCAAATGAAACTGCCTCTAGAAATCTAATTTATAAACCAGATAAAGATGAAGGTACTGTAGTTGCCATAGGGGCTCAAAGCTCTACTTGCTCAGTACCCTTGCCTGGGGGTCCTCCAAGGAACCCAGGGTTCTGCAGAACAAGGTTCGAAAACCTCAGATCTAATTCAGAGCACCCATTTTATGGACGAAAAGACTGAAGCCAGAGAGCTTGGAGGCCTGTGCTTGAGGGGACCCAGCTGATTAGTGACAAAGCCAGGAGCAGCTCTGAAGAATGAAGCCTGCCCAATTCTTCCAAGACCCTTGAGGGTCCCTGTGGTCTTTCTTGTCACATGAATAACTGATTTCCTAACTGCCCTTAGAGGTCCTGGAGGGTTGGGGAGTGGGAACACTGAGGCGTCCTCCAGCCAGGGGCCTTCCACAGTGCGGATCTGCATCTGTGGCTGTTAAAGGCACAGTCCTTTCCCCAGTGCATATGCAATTTAATAATGGTTGAGGGAGGCCACTGAAACTATTGAGGTGTTGGAGTACATTGGGATCTAGGAAAAGGCTTTGTCGGCAGCAGTCAAGCAGAACTCCAAAGAGAATATTTTCAAGGGACTCAGCCAGGCCATGTGTACCCCAGCAGCAGGGGGTAGGAAGTGTGTTGGGTGACATTAAGTAACCACCATAAAAATATGCTGGGTCACCTCTGAAAAACCACCAAGCTCAGGGTTAAGCCGGCCTTGTACTGACTTTCCTGTGGGGGTCTTATTAAGCATGGCTCTGGTTCATTACCTTTAGTTTTATTCTGTTTCTCAGAAAGCTTCCAGTGACTTTTAAACTTCTATGAAGATATGAACTGCTCCACCATCTAGGTTTACTAATTTCAGTCATCTTTCATTTTTAAATTCCTCACTGAAGCCCCAATATGCCCTATTACAAGGTAGCCCTGTATCTAACTCCCCAGTTTCCCCACCTCTGGAAGATTTTATAGTTGAAGGGAATTATTTGCACTTCTACATGTGAAACTAAGGGAGAAGGGCTGTTTGCTCATAGCAGTGCCATCTTTATCCCCTGCCACCAGGCCCCACACACTGTGATGATTGACACTGAATGCCCTGGTAGGCTAACCCTGCCAGTCCAGCTCCTGACAAGCAGACACGGGTGATCCCGTGGCCTCAATGTTGGCCCAGCCAAGGATGAACTTCCCCTTGATCCTCAGCCACTCAGATCTCTTCCCCAGAGGCAGCTTTTGTTACTATTTTCTTGTGTATCCATCCAGAGACAGTCTAAGCATTTACAAATCTTTATGAATATTCACATACACATTTCTATTCTCTCACCCTACAAAATGGCAGCAGACTGTACAAACAGTGCTTTTGAAAAATGTAACCAGGTATTGCAGAGGCCAATCCATGGTGACACAGCCAGAGCTGCTTCGGTCTTTTTCACGGCTGCATAATATTCTAGCATCTGCTTACCAGAGAATAATCCACTTCATCTGTTTATGAGGTGGTAACTCAGATGCCATCTACTTGTGGATGTTTGGATTATTTCCTGTTTGTTGTTCTGTTTGCTGTTACAGGTGTTTGTACAGATTGCTTGCAAATGTATTCAGGTATTTTAGGAGGCTCTGCCTCTGCTGTCTAAGAAAGGTTCCTTGCTCAGTAAAAGGAAATAGACATTTTAAAATGTGATAGATACTTCCAAATTTCCTTTCACTGAGGTTGTACAATTTTAAACTCACATAAGCAATATATGAGAGAACCTGTTTCCCCACTCTCACCAGTAGTGTGTTAGCAAACTTTTCAAACATTCAGGGGTCAGGAAAGTACTTTCCTAGAGTCCATGGGAACTGACTTTGAGGTGCTTGAGACAAAGAATACTTGCCACATCCCAAACATTTCTAGGCAAAACAAAATCACTCCTTTAATTTAACATTAATTATTTTTTAGGAGCCTGGTAAGGAGTTGTTTACAGTAAGAATAACTTCAAAGACTATGGGGGTCACAAAACCTGCTTAGCACATAATCCAGGCCCTGTCTGCTCCCTCTGTGCCTTTGTTCAGAGTCCAAAATGACATCATGCTCAGAAATGTGCTTAATCAGTGTTCTCTCTTTCTTCATAAGAAAGAAGAAAGAATCAGAATTGGGAAGTTATCAAAGGAAATGACAGGAATTCAGGGTGATAGATTAGTCCTGTGGGTATGTTTGAGTGATTAGTTAGCTCAGAGGCAGAGAAAAATCATGATTTTTAATGTTTGCATGCAGGTGTTAGTATAGTTGCCTCAGAATGAGAAAAATAAAGGATTTCAAAAAAAGCTAGTCACATCTTGACTAGAAGAATCCTCTTTTGAGAAATTGTCAATGTTGTATTACAAGCACCATTCAAATCTACCAAATGGGCCAGATGGTTGCTCCATTACTGCATGTTGCCAGCTGCCCATTGCTACAGATTGAGTCTTTTCTGGTGGCGCTTGTGTAACCCACAAACACATCAGAAGGTGTTCTTTTGATGCTGTTTAACATTTATGTGTCATCATAATTATAAACCATAAATATACATGACACCATGAAATAAATAAAATTGCCCAGCTTTCATTTTGAGAGGGAAGGAGGCTGTATGTATCACCTGAGAAGAGAGGATGTCTGATACTCATTTTCCATTCTTTGTAAATGTCACTTCTCTCTCCTTAGACGCTCTAGAATGCTTTATGATCATCAAGTCTTATCTCTTCAAAACAGCACAGACTCTGGGGGCTAATATATATCACAGTGGCCCAGGTTTTAACACATGCGTGGACCAAAAGTCAGGGGTTTATGACTCAGGGGAATCCAAATAGTTCTAAGTGAGATCAAGCTGTCCTATTTGGCAAAATACCTAAAGTTCTTGGGAGGTCACATAACGGGCAGGTGTACAGTTTAAAAGGAAGTAGTAAATAGAAGTGAATCAACTTCTTTCAAAACAGATACTTTCTGGGGAAGCATTTCTTCTTGCTTTGAAAGAAAACTGATTCAGTGCCATTCAACTTTGAAGAAAGTGGCACATTTATTTGTATTTGCATCTATAAAAACCAAGTGCCTTCTCCCTGTACAAAAACCTGAGCATGTGTGTTTGCAGGAGTGAGAAGCAGGGCAAGAGGTGGAGGGAGGGTAAAAGCCCATGACCTATTAACTTGTGTTAATGGTCACAAATACATGACCACAATGGCTGAGGGAGGACCTACTCCCCAGGCAGGGGGCACTTTCAGTACCACCCAGGAAGACCTCTTTAGAGCACAGCATCTTTATTTTAGACCACAGATCCCAGACAGCATGTTTCATGGCTCTGTAGATACAAGACTCAGATGCTTCCTGACACCCAACGTTTCAGCTTTGCAATGTGTAAATAAATGAATGCTCAAAGTGAGTAAATGTCTGTATATTGAGTTTACAATCTTGTCTTTTCAGAAATATCGACAGTACATGGCAGGACTTCTGGCTCCTCCTTATGGTGTTATGGAAACAGGCTCTAACAATGACAGTAAGTGAAAAATGGGAGATCTTGCATTTGAAAATTTGTTGTGTGCTGTGTGTTTTCATGTGACAAAAGAATATGTCCTACGCCAGCTTGATGGAGTAAGTCTCCAGACTCTTTTGTGGATAAATAGACCAGGCAGCCCATACTTGAGTAATTGTTAAAACTGTTAATATGGTATGATTCTGTGGTCTTAGCTGATAGAGGGAGGTATGCCCAGCATACTTTGAATGCTTTCTCTAAATCTCATCATTTTGTAGTGAAATCCAGTGTTGTTTTTGTGCTCTTTCAAAAATGAGGTTTGTGGACTGTATTTGTTTTGGTCACACATAGACTCCTGGAAGCCCCACCTCCTGCTTTGTTGATCAAGGAAAGAAGCACCATGAGTCATGATCTATTCTTCTTAAATCCTGGCCTCTTCATATTCCAGGCCTTTTATGAGACCAGTCTCTGTCTCTGGCTGATTGTAACAGAAAGGAATTTTTTTCTCTGCAATCCTCTTTTCTAGTGCCAACCCACTAGACTCAAAGAAACCCACATCCTGTGTCTGTTTCTGTCTTCATGGGTGCTGGGGGCATCTCTGTAGAGCACATCGCCGTCCCCAGGGGCCACGGCTCTGAGTCCTCTTACCAGCACTGGTACCCAGCCGTGCAGCGAGGTGCCAAGGACTGGGGTTTTGAAGCTGCATCACTTCAACAACTCGACCTGGTGATGGATCAGCAGCACTCCAAGCATCCTCAGCCAGTCACTCTTCAAATCCCCTTTCCAGCTCCTTAAATTCTCACTTTCACTCCCAGACCTGTCACACTCTATAGGCAACTCTTTCCACAGCTTGACCAGGGTCTGGCATGAGCTTCCTCACTGTCTTTGTTTCCCAATTCCAGGCAGCCTCTGCTCTCTCTCTCTCTCCATTTCTCCCTGTCTTTCCTTTCCTTTCTTCCCGTGTTCTTGATTTTTCTCTCCTGGCTGATCTAGGGGCAACCAGCTCATAAGGAGTACCTGAGCTGAAATCTCCACTGTGCCATCTCCTAGCTCTACAAACTTAGGCAAGGCACTTAGTCTCTCTGTGCCTTGGTTTCCTCCCAGGATTGTTGTGAAGATTAAATGTGGCAAGACATGTCAAGGGTGTAGAAAGGTGCCAGGCATATAATAAGCACCCAAATTATATTAGCTATTATCTCCTCAGCACCAGTCACCGTCGAACCTCTCAGAGTCTAGCTTCTGCCCCATACTTCTTGACTCAAGCCATCTAAAGTTTCTAGTAACCAATCAGCAGCTAGACTTCGTCGTTACTGTCTCCCATTCTCTCTGACTTGAATAATAAGACTTAGCGTGTTCATAGTCCATTCTCTGGTTCCTGGGCTCCACTGCTTTATCTTGGGTTTCCCATGTCTTTCTGGCCACTAGTATTATTGTCTCTTTTGAGATACTTCTTCCCCTCAGCCAAAAGCTTAGGTATTTCCCAAGAGTCTAGCCTGGGCTGCTTTTCTCTGTTGCTCTATATACTTTGGTCTCATCCATCCTTTCTTCGAACTGATACAAATACTTCCCAAACCAGTTCCTCTGCTTCCTCCGAAGGGCAGCCTAGCTTTCCACTTGACTCCTGATTCTCTTCCCACCTGGATGTCCTACTGGCCATTTGAACTCAAAATGTCAGTAACAGAACACATCCTGATTCCCACTGAACCCGACCCCCTCCTGAAAGCCACATTTCTGTCCATGACTCTGCCGCTCTGCTCCCAAACAAGGCTCCCGGCCTCAGTCATTTTGGAGTCCCCCGCTCCACCTCCACCCACCACAGTTTATTGTCCAACACATCCTTCCTGCAGGGCACGTATTCTTTCCTCTCTGTCACCTCTGCAGCCGCCTCATCACTCTCGACCTCAGGGCAAAAATGACTCAGCTGGCTCCGCACCTTCAGCATCATCCTTGGTCTACCTACACCTGACTTACACAAAACTTTCCAAATTTGCTTTTTATAGTGAATAAAGCAATTTCAAACATACAGAATGATAGTTACCAGTTACCACCCATCTCTTCATCACTTAGATTTAATTACTATTAGTATTTTTATACCTAAAAATGATGTTTATTACTAATATCAATATGTATTTTAATATTAATATTTTGTAATATTTCCTTCTTCTAATCACATACACACATTTTACCCCAAATACTTCAGCAGGTATTTTTTGAAAATAAGGACTTTTCCATGCCTAACTACAGCACCATTTTCACACGTAATAACTGGTATACTTTTCCTTAATAACATCTACTACTCAGTCCAAATTCATATTTCCCCAACTGAATGTTTATATGGCTGATTGCTCACACTGAACTTCAAGGATCATGCCACTGCATCTGGTTTTTATGTTTTAAATATTTTTTTATTTCAAACAGTACCTTCCCTCCTTTTTCCTGACATATCACTCGGTTGTTCAAAGCCTTCTCGTGCCTGCCCATGGCCTGCATGAAGGTGGAATTCCAAGGCTGCCAATGGCTTAGCCAACTCTGAATTTTCTGCATTGCCCCAAATCACTTTTTCCTACAGATAGCCTAATTTCCAGCCACTCAGATATGGGGATTTGTGCAACTGTGCATTTATTTTATTGAAACTCTTAGAAACTGAGCTTCTGTTATCTTCCTTTATCTTCTGTAATCAACTTCAGTCCCTTCAAATGGTTGTTGAGTGGATGGGTGGAGGGGCTCAGAGTGCTGCCATTAGTCCACCTTTGCTCTTTCTGACAGATGGGGGACGTGATGGCAAACAGGTTCATTAATACTCTGTTATTCATTAATGACTCTCTCTGTCCCCTGATTCCTGCCTGAGCTTTTATGTCCTGGTACCATCCGAGTTTGGTTGTTAAAGTTTAATTAGGGAACATTTCTAAATAGTCTCTTCCATCCTTACCCTTTCTGTGTGCTCTACTGCTGCCTATTAACCTGGACATTCAGTTCTTTTAATGCCAGTGTTGTAAATCTATGTGGTCCCTTAATAAACACAGAATGCATTGTTCGCTCAGAATTTGCACATATCTTATTTTGACATTGCAAACCACCTCTAACTGCCCCAGTGGTTGGAAGCTAGAGGCAAGCCACACATAAAAATCACCTGGGCTTCTGTCTCTCAGTGTAAGTCCACTTGGGTCCAATGCACTGGGGACATTAGGTTCTGCTGGGGCTGTGGTCCTTCCAGTATGGCCACCCTTACCATGTCAGTCAGAGTACAGCACCAGAGGAAAGGCAGAGGACCAGGACCTGCCCGTAGCAGATGCTCATGCAATGTTAGTTAAGTGAATGAACAAATGAGTGAATGAATGAATGATTAACTTTTTCAATAGGAAACTGAAATAGTCCTGGAAACAGCCACTGCTGTGCTAGGACCTGGCTTGGTGACACCAGGAGTTTGCTTTGCTTCAAATGGAAGTTGTGTTCTGGTGGTTTTATTTTATATTTATTGTTTTTTATACAATTTTTTTATTAAGGTATTATTGATATACAATCTTACAAAGGTTTCACATGAAAAACAATGTGGTTGCTACATTCACCCATATTATCATACCCCATACCTCCCCCATACCCATTGCAGTCACTGCCCATCAGTGTAGTAAGCTGCCACAGAGTCACTACTTGTCTTCTCTGTGCTACACTGTCTTTCCCATGATCCCAACACCATGTTTACTAATCATTAATATGCCTCAATCCCCTTCTCCCTCCCTCCTCCCCCACCCTCCCTCACCTATTCTCTTTGGTAACCACTAGTCCTTTCTTGGAGTTTGTTAGTCTGCTGTTATTTTGTTCCTTCAGCTTTGCTTCATTGTTATATTCCAGGAATGAGGGAAATCTTTTGATACTTGTCCTTCTCCACCTGGCTTATTTCACTGAGCAAAATACCCTCCAGCTCCATCCATTGTTGTTGCAAATGGTAGGATTTGTTTCTTACTTATGGCTGAATAGTATTCCATTGTGTATATGTACCACATCTTCTTTATCCATTCATCTATTGATGGACACTTAGGTTGCTTCCATATCTTGGCTATTGTAAAAAGTGCTGCAATAAACATAAGGGTGCATATGTCTTTTTGAGTCTGAGAATTTGTATTCTTAGGGTAAATTCCTAGGAGTGGAATTCCTGGGTCAAATGGTATTTCTATTTTTCGTTTTTTGAGGAACCTCTATATTGCTTTCCACAATGGCTGTACTAATTTACATTCCCACCAGCAGTGTAGGAGGATTCCCCTTTCTCTGCATCCTCACCAGCATTTGCTGTTCTTAGTCTTTTTGATGCTGGCCATCCTAACTGGTGTGAGGTGATATCTCATTGTGGTTTTAATTTGCATTTTTCTGATGATTAGCAATATGGAGCATCTTTTCATGTGCCTATTGGCCATCTGAATTTCTCCTTTGGAGATGTGTCTATTCATATCCTCTACCCATCTTTTAATCAGGTTATTTGTTTTTTGGGTGTTAAGGCATGTGAATTCTTTATATATTTTAGATGTTAACCATTTATCATATAAGTTGTTTACAAATATACTCTCCTATACTGTAGGATGCCTTTGTCTGCTTATGGTGTCCTTTGCTGTACAGAAGCTTTTTAGCTTGATGTAGTCCCACTTGTTCATTTTTGCTTTTGTTTCCCTTGCCTGAGGAGATGCATTCAGGAAAAAGTTGCTCATGTTTGTATTCAGGAAATTTTTGCCCATGTTGTCTTATAAGAGTTTTATGGTTTCATGACTTACATTCAGGTCTTTGATCTATTTCAAGTTTACTTTTGTGTATAGGGTTAGACAATAATCCAGTTTCATTCTCTTGCATGCAGCTGTCCAGTTTGCCAACACCAGTTGTTAAAGAGGCTGTCATTTCCCCATTGTATGTCCATGGCTCCTTTATCGTATCTTAATTGACCATTTATGCTTGGATTTATATCTGGGCCCTCTAGTCTGTTCCATTAATCTATGGGTCTGTTCTTGTGCCAGTACCAAATTGTCTTGATTATTGTGGAT